TTGCAGTTAATCAGAAAAACAATTAAAAACACTTCATACCCTGTGGTCAGATAACAAAATATCTGATAGCTGCAATTTTTTTTTCAAATAGTTGTTTTTGCAATTAGTGAAGAAATAGTGACCGAAAAAGAGCTAAATTCAGATTAGAGATTTGTAAACTAGGCTTCTTTGTTTTTATTTTAATTGTATTATGTGATAATTCTGCATTTTAATTGGCACTTGGATATCAAGATGATAAGGCACCTTAAAATACAATGACAGAAGAATATGCAATGGAGAAAGACACTGTCAGAAGTAGAGACAAAACTATTTTATCCATAACAGGTTAGGCACAACATGGGTAAGCACAATCCTGAAGAAAGCAAGATAATCCTACCCCTGTCATAGTTTAATATCAAGCCATTATAATAGAGGAAGAAGGGAAATCAATGATATTAGATTATATGATTTTTATACTCAGTCAATACAACTCATTCCTCTTATGTGAACCTCTGCGCCGCGTTTTCTCTAACCACTTGCACCCACCAAATTTTTTGTGACGGTGTATTTCATATGGTGTGTGTTGCAAAACCCCTTCTATACAGGGAACTCTCACATATATCCAGACAGTGATAGCAAATGTGCCATTAGCTTATTCTACGGAGTTTAAGGCACTGAAGCACTGATTCCCCTCACAGTTTTGCAATGTACCAGTAAACTACATTTCACTGGAACAAGGTGAGATTACATTTTCATTTTAAGTGCAAAGACCAAGGACTGAGGTTACGCCACCAGTGGCATAAATTACTGGATATTAATAAAAGTGTGACTATTCAGATTCAAATGGAAATCAGCAACCCGGGAATTTTAATAACTTTTATTGTTTCACACATCTTAGAAAAGTGTTTCTAGTCAAATCATGAGCAGCTGGCGCTGGAAATGCAAAGCTTCAGCCAGTTCCAAACTCTTTGCCTGGCTGACGAACTTTGAAAATATCAGCTCCCCTTTGGCCAAGAGCCAGAAACGCGGCTTCCCCAGCCAAAAAGGCTGTCTTGCAGGGCCAGAAAATGTCAATGCACGTGCAAACGAGGACCTGGGCTCTCTTCCCATATCCCCATTTCCGTTAGATGCCCTTTTCCTAATGCAGGGCAGAAGATGCAAGGGCAGCAGTGGAAGGGATCCCTCCGCAACCCAGGTTGCATCCCAGGGATTGGACCAGAGAGCATCATGTCAAGGATTCCTCTCCTCCTGGTCCATGGCAGAAAGGGAGTGGGGCATGGAGAATCTCCAAGATCCACTGCTTGCAGCTACCCACAGCCACTCTCGCCTTAGTAAAACTAGAGTGGCATTTTCAAACTTTTATTTGCAATCCTCAGAAACTGTCACTAAAAAGCAAGCGGAGTGTCTAACAAAGTCAAACAGCGCCATGAGCTGGAGTCTAACCAAGAACATACATTGGCTATACTTACAGCTGCTTCCCTTTTGGTGAAAGCTATGAATTCTTCCGTATTTACCAAAGCCTGCATTGTCCAGGGGTAGTCACTAGATCTTTCTGGTTTTACCACTAGCCCATAGTAAGGAAATTCCCACCTGTTTTAATGCCTTGATACATGCGAGCAGGAGACAAAGTATCTTCCTGTGAAATGAATGTAGCCAGAATAGATATTCAAGCTGCAGCCTGAAACAATCCCTCCTGGCTGAGCAACAAAAAGGACTCTGAAACTCAGAGGATGAAGGGCTGCCAGGTGGCAAAGAGTCTCCCCACTGGAAAAAAAACACCCCCAGTTTTGTGCTGGAGGAGGATGAGAAGGAAGAGAGTGAACTTTCTTCCTAGTAAAAGTCTAATAAAGAACAGAACCAAGCACAGTGGAGAAGGAAAAGATGGTCCAGTCCCCAGGAGACACAACAGGGATGAGCAGACCATGCTCTACCTTCTTCTTGAATTTAATTTCAAGGCAATGACTAAGTCATGATGCGAGTCTCCGAGTTGTTTCACTTTTCTTGTATGGTTTTGGCACATGTGGAAACAAAGCTGGAAATCCCAATACAAAATGTGCTCCTACGCTGATGGGGACAACCATCCTGCAAACATTTGTTAGGACAATTCAGTGTAAGCCCTTCCCCACACAGTTGTACAAACACGGCACCCTGCTTCAGCTGTCGAGGAATAAGGTCAGCAGAGACTCTTACTTGCCTGAGGCTCTCCCGTATTACAATCCCAAGCAGTACAAAATTAAGAGAGAGATGTGCTTAAAAGAGAAGTTAATTATAAAACCAATTCATTTGTGGTTCTTGTCCTTCATGTTGTGTTTTCAGGATCTTTCAGCCACGCTTGTCCATGTGACCTCCTGGTTCCTAAAGCTTGCATTTTCAGAAAAACCAAATATCAAAAGACTTTTCAGCACACCTCTGAGAGCTGGCAGCATTTCACGTTTCTCATCTTTCTGCTATGCAACAACACCTAGGGGAGTATTTGCAAAACCCCGAGATCATCATCAACAGCCCTTCAGGGCTTTTCTAGCTATCAGGCTGTGGTTACTTTCTTCCTTTAAACTTGGCTTTACAGACCGCTTGGTGGTCTGTGGCAAGCTGGCAGGTCATATGCTGTTGACTCATCTTTTTTGTTTCCAGATTTCTCTCTCAGACAGTCAGACACTCGGGCGAAGCAGCCCAGACCCTTACAGAAGAAGCTGGGACTAAGACGGGGGCACAAGCCGCTTATTTGTCTGTATTAGGAATTATTTCCTGAAGAGAGGTAGGGAAGAAAAACAAGTGCCATCCTGACAAAGAGAGCCGCTAATGAGATGAGATACAGCAGATCCTCTGAAGCAACTGCAGTAGGTACCAGAGAGGGAGAGAGAAGGAGCAGGGGGGAGAACAGCCTGCAGGAAAGCGAGGCAGATGAGGAGCCGGTGGAAGGGGACTGCACATGGGGCACAGAAACAGAGCTGACACAAGAGCGTTTTAAAGGCGTAGCAAAAAGAGATGTTCAGATTTTTTTCCACTACCATATCACATTAAGGACTGTTAAAACCAACCAACCAACCAAACAAACCCACCAACCTCCCCCTCCCCCCAATACTACTTTTCCACGAAAACAACTGCAGTTGCTGCCACAGCGATGTTGTCTGATGACAAATGGGATATTGATTGGCAGGGGAGGTGGTACACGAGACAGGCTCTCTGTTAAGATGTGAACCATAGTTAGAGAAGTTTGAGAATCCCTGCTTTCACGGCTATAAAGTTAACTATAGGTAAGAAACTCCACTTTTCACATGTTTTCTCCTAGATCATGTCTTTAAGCTAAGAACATAAATAGGATCTTTATCAAGGACTTGTCAAATCATTTGTTTTAAGTTAAGCCCTGAATGCTCAGGAAATGATCAAGAATATAAAAGTAACTTTTTTATTATGTCCCCTTATGCTCGGTAAAAGAAGCGACGGGTATTCATTAGTATTCCTGTTACAACCCTTACAGCTACGCTGTATAAGCCACTCTAGCTCTGTGCTAGACTCCCGATTTTATGCAGGATACTTAAAAGCAATATCATCTCATCGTTTGTATGATACAAAGAATACAGCAACTTTTTTCATACTTCAAAATACAAGAAATTAAAAAACATAAGAAATGTAAGAAATCTCTTTTAAAATGGAATAAACGACATAAATCAAATAATAACATGGTTATTAGAGTTTTAAAAATCCTCAAGTGCTATGCTGATGCCTCCATATATATCTAGAGGTGGTATTCAGAGTTCATACGAGACTTGTGAAACATTGTACTGGCTCTTTTGTACAGAACATACGTTTCACAAATATAACAAAGTACACAAGAAAGTGCAGGAAAACATACACACATTTTCTCTAGCTAAATAACTAAAGGTCATGTAATGCATTTGAAAAAGTACTTCAAAAGACCGTAACAGGTAAGAGTCCTACTAAACAAGCATTCATCCAGGAGGGAAATAGTTTCTGAGTTACTTGTTTTTGTAAAACTATTTTAAAAAGTCAAACCGCTCGAGCACATGAGAAAGTAAATACATTTAAAAAACCATCTCAGTATTTGGACACATATGGCAAGCTCCCTTCAAAGTACTGAACTTTAACTGACGTCTATTCATCTGTATTTCAAAACATAACACTGGATTCAAATCTACTTTAAAATCTGTTATTTCAGTTAAAGACAGGCTTCAAGTTTATAACATCAGATACACATATAACTTATAAAAACAATTAATCCACAAAGTAATTTGGACTGACTAACTTTTTTTCCCAAAGGACAGGAAGAACACTTTTTGGACCTACGATATTATTTATTTTTGAAATATCAAAGCACCACTTGTTTCCAAGTGATGCGGTTAAACCTTTCCATCTCTGATGACCATCAGCACTTAATATCCATCTAACATTCACTGCGGAAGTCAAAACCATCACACTTTTAACAAAAAATCGCCCATACACTTTAATCCTTTCAACTGCAGCTACAACACCAAGTATTACAGACTTTTAAAACCCACTCTCCTGAAAATAAATAAATAAATTTAAAAAAAAATTGTGGAGCGTCAGTAACCAGAGAGTATTCTCAAATTTCAGTGATCTAGTCAATGGAGCCTTCCCCCATGTACTGTGCTCTGTTTCATGCAGTACATGGCTTTAGCTGGCCAAATCTTTTTTTTCCCACTGAATCAGTAGAACAGTGAAGATCTTACTTTTTTTTTTTTTTTTTTTTTTTTTTAAAGCAGTGGCATATCAATGAGGCACAGATGTGTATTCTAACTCTGCATGGATGAGCACACTGTTCAATAGTGCTGGCTCACACGGTATCAGGGCAAGTTATCACTTCCCATGAAGGCACTCTTATCACCAGGGCCCAGAGAGGTGGCTGCAAATCGCAGCCTTTTTATTTTCAAGGCAGTTTTGCTGAACATTCAGGCTTCAAAGATTCACACTTCCAAAACTCTATAAGAGTTTGTGAACGCTCAATTTGCCAAAACTGTTTACAGTGTAATTGGGCACCGTACCTGTGTCCATGAGATAGCGAAGGCGCTTCTCCACCAGCGCGGCACGGGTGTCAATTTGCTTTTGCTCATTCTCTAGTGCTGCCAATTCTCCTACAACATACTGACTGGTGTCTTTGAACCCTTTCTGTTAAAGAGAACAAACAAGAAGAAAAAACATCACTTGTAAGTTGCATTTTTCCTTTCCACAAACACTTAGTAAGGCACTTACCTAAACAACCAAATATCATGCTCACTACCAAAAAGCTAACACTTACATTTCATAAACTTTACAATTTTGCCAAATGTCCTTATTTGTTTATTAAAACACCCCAGTTTTTCTTTAGGGAACATTTGATTTTGCAGTTTTTTACTACCCAGCTGGCTTTTTGAAATTCCTCTAATTTATTTCTAAGTACATAAAAGCTGTTGTAACAAAGCATAATGAAAGGAAACGTAATCCAAATAAAGCACTATGTAACGTGCCATTTCCACTCCACTCAGGTCTTTTTCAATTTTAAACTGCTAACTTTAGGGGCTAGAAGTGCTAGCATGAAGTTTCTAATGACAATTGAAAAATGGGCTTTTGAGATGAAAACCAAACCTGAAACAAGCTCCCTGGCTTGTTTAGCTCCTCTGGGTCAACTGTAATGCCGAGGCTCACCAGCCCAGGCTATCATGCCTCTCTGGGTTTCTCTCACTGCAAGCAATTGCCCTGCTACACGGTGATCTGTAAGAATACCGCTAATTACTCTAACTGTGATTCTTATCCTGAGAAGCGGTGACAAATGGCACTGGGCAGACGCTCAGGTGCACGGGGACTAACTCGAGCTGTCCTGCCTCTGCGCCGGCTCACGCTCAGCCAGGAGGCTGCCCTGGGATGCCAAGTTGGTAAATCGTATTGAACCTTACCCAGAAAACTAACGAGTCAAGTTTGCCTCTTGTACTCTATAACTTCTCAGCATTGCCCCGCAGATGACCACACAAATCTCCAAATATTTCCAAAGCGGTTTGGCTGTCTCGCCCAAGAACAGTCATTTAGTACCTACAAGTTGTTCGCATGTGGCTCAACAACTCTCACACAGTGTTTTGGCTGTGCCGAGTTATTATGGGCTGTATACTGAAATGGTCATTCCTGAAGCATGTTTTTGCATAAGTTAAGAAAAAAATATTACTCCTTCCAAGTTACCCCATCCACTTCTTCCTCCTTTCTCCTACTCCTGCCCCAGAGCTTTGGAGAATGGTTTGAAGTTGCAAAAAAAAAAAAAAACCTGGCAAAATGATTCCACATTTCATCTGCACTCTGTAAAGGATGCAACTAAAATCATTGTCCTTTTGGAACAGAAAAATATAGGGGTTTTTTTGTATGAGGCTTATTTCCCTACTGGAGGCTAACTTGTTGCTGTGTAAGGGTCTCAGATACTTTCACCGAATGTTTCAATTGTTCTTCTGTAAATGTGTCTGAAATCATCAATTCAGCTTCATATTATTCAGGCAACAGGTATAATAACCACATCAGCATATTATTTCAAATAAAGACATGTTCAAAGTGAAGGCTAATGGCATGTCTGAGTTCCCAGGACCAGTAACGAGCGCAGAACTTTGAAATTCGGGGTATCTGAATTTAAGCACATTATGCCCCCATTAATGCAGTCCTTCCCTTCCTACATAACAGCCAACAGTATCAGCTCTAATGGAAACCTCTTCTCTACCTGCCGTATAGCCAGAAAAACAACAACAAAACTCCCTGAGAGCAGTCCCTGAAGAAAAAAAAAATATCAGTCTGGGGAGTCGAGGTGATGTGCAATATATTGCCTTTCATCAACTATAATTAACTGAAAATAGTATGAAAACTTCCCTAATGTCAGCATGCATAATTGTTAACAATTGTTATTAGAAGATGAAAAGAAATGCTGTGTCAGGCTGAAATATCCCAAGAGTTCATGTGTATCATCTGCATATATAATGCGAACTTACTGTGCCAGGCCTTTTCAGCTCTGCAAAAGTACAACTGGGCTAAAAAGAACTCCGGCTCGTAAAAAGTTTGATGTTTTGGTGTAGATATGACAGTGGTACAAAATCGCTACTCAGCTCTAGATTGCTTCAGCAAAAACAACAAATGTGCTTAGATAAATTGTGGAGAGCAACGAACGACCACCATCAAAGGCTGTGTTGTGTTTTCAGACAAAAAAAATTCAGGTTAAAACTTGTTCTTCCTGCTTCTGTCCCGCAGCTGTCCATCAAAACCAGCTTTCTCCCTGCGGTCTATCAAATATTTCCCTCACAAATCAATTTTACACATGATCAGCCCATACCCCTACTGAGCTGAACCTCCCCGTTAATTAAGTGAAGAAATTACCATATATATTATATTAATGCAAACATCATTCAGCTAGTAATTCACGGCTGATCTGGATAATGGAAAGGTTGAACACCCATTAACCCAAGCCAACAAAATGGGTTGGCTGAGAAATTCTAGCAGGTCTCATGTGACTCTTCCCTCTAACTGCAGCTCTGCGGTATCTGCTATTGTAATAATTAAAATCCTCCCGGTAGATCAATACTGGAATCTCTTTATGGGAAGTGCCCTGATGGAAATGTCTCAAGGAAGCTGGGGCTGTGGAACTCTGAAAAATTCATTTTTTTTATCTGACAATTATCACCACACTGCAGACTAATTCAACAGTGCACCCCTCTCACTCTGCTTTGAATGCACTGGAGATTGACATCTAAAAAAACCTAACATCTCATTTTAACAAATAAAGGCACTATTTCCACATACAGTTTGGAATTATCAGCAATCATGAAACCAGACAAAAAATTAATATACATTAAGCACTTCATCTTCTGATGGCTTCCTCTGAGTCTCAGTTATCGCAGCCTTCTCCTCATTTCCTCTCTTTGTATCTTCCTGTATTGATCTCTGCCTTTTCATCTCTTGAAAAAAGAGGAAAGACATGTAAAATTATTATAAAGCTTGATATTTATGTATTGAAATGTGGACTTACATTATCGGGTTTTCATATATTTATTGTTAAATATTATTAAATCATAAGATGGCAAAACAGGTTTTATATTTTCTCCTACCTGGTCTGCTCTCCACGTATTGACTGAAAGACTGGAGCTGAGTTTTTCTGACGGTAGAGTCCTTGCTGAACACAACGGGATTTCTAAACCGTTCTGCTGCTTTTTGTAATCGCTCAGCACGATGTTCCTCTGTTCCATTCTGCTAGGAAAAAAATCAGACACACAACGGTTTCTTTTGTTTACAAACGGGAAGACACAAATTCGAAAGGTACGTTTCGGCGAGGGGACAGGACGCAGCTTTTGCAAAGAGGATTTCACAACTCGGGCTGCGGTTTATATAGGATGAAAGTATCAGCTGCAGAAAAAAAGGAGAAGAGTGATTAACTTTTCCTTTTTTTTTTTTTTTTTTATTTAATGTGTGGTGGCAACGACTGGCTTTTTGCTATGTGGGCACCCTCCTGCAGGACTCTCTACTTACTTAACAGCCAGACCTATTAATTGTGACCGGGATTTGCCAGCAATTCCGATTTTAAACGAAAAATCACTCCTTTGCAACTTTGATTTGCCAAGCGCTGCGCATGCTGCTGCCAAGTAGCGGCGTCTCTACCCCTGAACACGATCTGTATCGTTTTAAAAGCGTGTTGCCTTTAGCCTGTCTCCCTGCCCGGTAAAGAAATCTGTCGTTTTCTGTAGTCCCACAGACTTGTATGACAAGAAGAACTAGTTTCTAATTTTATGCCCATTGAGATAAACCACTAATGCTGGATGAAGGCTAAAAGGTAGGATTATAATACTACCCCACTGAACTGCATTTCATCAGCTATAACTTTCCAAAGCCAGATTTGTAAGTAAGCCCTTTACAGCTAAGGAAACTACAATTATCTTTTCCAGGGCTTCCTATGTTAATACTGGTAACAAATTCAAATGGTTCTATCAACACGAAATATCCCAGAAGACTGAACCACCGCAGCGTGTGGAAACTGCAGATACCGAGGTGCTGTGTACCAAACAAATATTTCATTTTATACCTAATCTTTTATTATTTTTATTAAGTGTTTTGAAAGTAAATAGGGAAAGGCTAAGATGCATGACTAATAGCTAAGCCTGCTGAATGCTGAAACTGGTTATCAAAAGCTACCAAGACTTTGCCCTTCCTCTGCATTGAGACAATCGGTAATGAGGGAGTTCTCCAATGGCCTATTCTCTAGCCTCAAGGAGGCCGGGGATACACAATCCCCAAGGGAAGGTAACAGTTTATCCTTTTCCACAAACACAGAATGCCTCATTTAGAAACGTGTAAACTGCATTTTATTAAAAAACAAATCCACCTCAATGCCGAGAGCTCCATGAGAACAGATGGACACCATATATTCCTTATAATGCCGCGTTCCAACTCTTCCTTAGAAAGACGTACACAGAGATAAACTGTTAAGTTGCACCTTTTGTGGGAGTACCTTAAAAAAAGCAACTCCTCCATGGAAGCTTTTCAAAAAGAGAAATACCATTTTCGTCAGGTTAGATGACACCAAATTACCCTAAGAGGCGGCCCGTGTGTCATTTGTCGAATTAAGCTTAAAAAAGTATCGCTCATACGCTCTGGATGACTTTTCAGCTCCACTGATCGGGTGGCTATGATTCTGGCTAAATAAAAGGTGGTTTCCTGTTATTAGCACAATAACCATCTGACAGCCTAAACCAGAGTCTTTACCAAAATAAACAAACATGACTAATTTTTTAGGCCTGGCAACATGCTAAAATATCAGTGTGATTAGCCCGTAAATCCCATTTTAAGAAACCTTTTTATGACTGGGGACTTCTGCCACTTTACAAATGTATTCCTCTAAGCCCACTAATTCAGTTAGCCTTTTCAATCCATTGTATTATTCTTGGGCCAGCTTCATTTTGCATTAAATCCACTGCAGAAAGCTAAATTGAACGCAAAAATCAGACTTGATCCAGGCTTCCTTTTGTTCAAAGATAGAGACCGAAAGTCCTCTGCTGCTGCCACACACTTTCATCACCAATTTATAGGAACCGACAGTGTAAGGGAAAAGCAATGAAAGTCATTGTTTTGGGACTTCAAAGCATCTCTGTATCTGGGGAAGGAAATCCTTTCAGTCAGCAGTGCTTTCCCCCCAGACTGCAGGTGGGTGAAAAGTTATACCCAACTGGAAGTGCCCCAGAGCCATAGGGATATTAATGACATACAGGGACTATTTAAAAAAAAAAAAAAAGAAGAAGAAGAACACAAGGAGTCTAATTAAGAAAATGAAATGGAAAATTGATTGGTGTGCGCTTTATGCTGAAGTCGTGAACATTAAGAATAGGCAAAACAACCACATACACCACATACTCGTGTCTACTTTTCTCAGAAGCACTCGTTGTCAAGTTCCCAAGTATGTATGCCTTTAAAGTGTACCACGGCTTAATTTTAATGGAGAAAAAAAAGAGGGTCAGGCTTGGGAGAGAAGCAAATCACTGAGAGTTCAATCCTGCTCCCGTTAAAGTCAGAGAGAGTCTTGCTGCTGATTGTACCAGCAGCAGAATGGAGCCCGTGCTGTATTTCTGATTTAAGTGACAACCTGAGCAATAAGAACTGAGAAATGCTTCTTGTATCTCTTACTGTTATGCCAATGACGAGCATCAAGATCAAAAAAACCAAAGGAAAATGTGTTGATTAATCAACAGGAAAAAAACAAGCGCATTGCAAACTATGCAACTGCACTGCCATGAAGATTTTCTGCATTTCTTACTGTGAAGGATTTGATAAAAAATCATTTTCCTCCTCATGAAGTACAAACCCGAAATCGGAACACACAGGTACGGAGACAAAAGCATTAATCAAAACTTACCTTAATGTCTTGCTCTGAACTATCAGTTACAGCTTTCTGAGCAGCACTGGAGAGTGAATTTGCCACCTGTGGCTGAGCTTCTAGGAGCTTCTTCAGCTTCAAATCCACCAACTTACTGTTTTGTTCTGCTAAATATGCAAATACCACATACAACAGAGTGAGATGCATTTAAATGCAGAGTCGCTACAACAATGTAGCAATTTAAAAGGTAGATTTCATTCCCTTTGCTATCATTTCAAACTAAAAAAGTAAAAACTAGAGGGAATTTTTTTTTTTTTTGTGATTCGGATTGGTGTAATTTGTGTAACATGTATAGATAATGCCTAAGTTCTCTCAAAAATATACGTAGCACTCAGCTGAACAAGTAAACGTGCTTGAAGACAGTAGATGAAAAAACACAAAAAGTAGACAGTGTTTACTTTAAGTTACTCCCAACCTGTACTTTGGTATAAAAACACACTTAAAGAGCCATTTATTTTAAGATGACATATAACAATTTATCACATATTCTAAGTACTGATAACCCCGCAAGTTTACGAACTACTAATTCATCCTAAGGCTCCTTGGCGCAGCTTCTCAACATTAAAATTTCAGTATCAAAAGAGACAGCTTTCTAGTAATATTTTACTATGACTTAGAGAATACGTTGAAGCCACGAGAGCCGTAGAACGCTTTGTAACTGCATTGAAGGGACAGATTCAAAGTCTGCTGAAGCCCCAAAATTTTTTTCATCAGTTTTAGCAACTTGGATCAGAGCCCAAAGAAATAAGAGTTGAGAATTTTACCTCCCAATAATGCTCATTCTGTACGTGACCGTTGACTATATGAATTTGTAACACACCTACACACACAGTTACCTACACATACACACATAATAAGGAGAAAGGTGTTAATAACAAACCACAGCGCAGATCTACGGAGCTAACCCTGGGTAGGAAGGCAGAATAACACTGACGGCAAAAGCCCCCAGACATACTCTACATGCAGCACCATGCGAGAAATCGCCCCCGAAACAGAGCGAATGCAGCATCACCTGCGTATATTATGCATGTACATCTGGGCCTTGGGTCAAACACAGAGAAAATAGCAGTTGCTACGTTTTTCTATAGGCACAGCCTGAGTTTTTTCACTGCGGGCTGGTAACTTCTAGTTGGTGTGGGAAGTGGAGCCATGACTGTTTTGCCGCACAGCTCCTTCCAAGGTTTGGAGCGCTCCGATTCATGTTAGCCAAAATATTTTTGGCATGCTGGCAATCCAATGATGCCTGCCTCCAGCAGCAATGGGCTGGGTTGGGTTATGACGAAGGATAGTTTCCCTTTCCTCTGGCACACCCAGTCAGGGTGCCCTTAATTGAGGCTCACATGTAAGTACATGCACATTCTCATGGGTTTATACATAAACATCATGTAATAACTATGATATAAGAGGTTCACATTTTATCAGATACATTCACAGCAGCATATGGTAGCAGTACTGACAAATACAGACAGATGCAATATTTAAAACCAACAACTGGCAGTAAAAATAAAAAAAAAGTTTTCTCTTCTTGAGAGAGATGGGAGAAACTAAGATTCAGGAGTGGAAAAATTAATTAAGACGGTCATAATGATTCCAAATGTGAAATGTCCCTTACAGTTTTGCATTTAGGTGCTCCCAGGAGATTCAGCCATCATTAGAACTTGGTATGAATTGGCAGAATCCCATCGAAATCTGCATACACTGGTTTCTATCACAGCATCAGACTGCTTTCTGTATTATTGCCCATCCCCTTCCTTACTCATTTGCCCCTCTGGCTACTGTGCAGGCTGAACTGCAAAATGATGTCCCAGGTTTTTTCAAGAATGTCTTCCCATGGTGGAGATGAAGCGCTGGGTAGTGGGTTTGTATCCCTGAGAAATTATCTCTCAAGAAAAAAGGCCCACAGAAATAAATGTTGGTAAGTCACTGGGGCTATGTGACAGGAATATTCATTTACTGATTTTCTATTTCTCCCCAAATCAACCAGTATTTATTGCAAAATTATTTGACAGGATTCTGCTCTAAATCAGCTTAATTCAAATGCTGGAAACGCTACATGTATTTTCTTACGTGTTTGGAAATCCTCAAATAAAAAAAGTAAAGGACATGACTCAAATCTTTCGCATTCAAAAAAGACTAGAAAGAAAGTGCTATACACACATCATTGTCAGTTGAATTCATAAACAGCAAACACTAAATGAAGTTTTTTGTTTTAATATATTATGGGCTACAAACTTGGGTCCAATTGGTATGGGCAGAACCAAGTCAGAGGATGCTGGTAAGAAGTTCTCTCTTGTACTGCCTTTATCCCGATGCTGTCCTGCGCTTGCCGCACTTCTCCGGGCTCGAGCTAACTTGTAGGGAGCAGAAACACCCTGGCGGAGAAGCACACCATACTACAAAGAGGCCCTCAGCAATCCCCAGGGCTGCTGGTAACAGGCAGACTTGTACAGAGAACAAACTCCTTCAGTAACTCTCTGTGAGCAGAGGAGCCCCTTCCAGATGGGCAATTACCCTCACATCTTTGAAGATCTACCGCCTTTTTAAATAAGCATCTCCCTTGTAAGATCCTGACATATTTATCATCTATGGAGGAACCTGAGCTCCAGTTTTGCTCAATTACAATTTTTGAAAGGGGAAATACCGCTACTATGATTTATTATTACTTGACCAGCATGTGCTAAGATTATACAAGCATTTCTACAAGAATATAAATGCTTTTAAAATGTGTTATCAAAAACCTATTACTTGAACTTTGTAAAATAAATAGGACTAATTCCGTTCCAATTTGTACCTCCATGTCCCCACTGGAGCAACAAGGTATAAATACAAGAACTGGTCCTCAGGGAAGGAACTGGAGGGATACCAAACCTACATGGAAACAGAGGCGTGTTTGCTCCTCTTCACTGAGCATATGGACCAGGATGCCAGTGCAGAGAGCGGCAGCTGTACTCACCAACGTGATTGCTCACTCCTCTGGCCTGCCTGCCTTGCTTTGCTGGGACAATCCAGGTAGGGTGATTTCAGGTGGCTCTGCTTTACAAATCTGGCCTGGGATCCCCTTCCCCATCAAACAACAAGAGACATTTAAATCTGCCATTGTTGGAAATAATGACTTTGTTGCCGATTTTAAATTTCAACTAAACATGAATGCAACATATGCAAAAAGAATAAGCATTAGGGTTTAAAAGACCTGAAAAGGCACAAAGGAATAAAGCTATGACAGAGAGAAGCGGCACATCAGTACTTATATGATGACAGAGTGTTAGTCATGCAAAATAGACAAAATAGCCATTATTTAAATTACCCGTTGAATCAAGGTCATTTTCTAGGTTAGTAAGCTCATCTCCACCTCCAGTAACAGAGCATTCAGGAACCTCCTCGTTAGTATCTATCTCAATATTATCATCATCCTCATCCTCATCTGTAGGAACATACAGCATTAAGGTTAGTATTTTCTTATGAACATGCACCACATCACTAAAAAAAAAATGAATGCTTTAAGAACAAGCTGAGTTATGATAAAAATGCAAATCATTAAATAAGTCTGGAAGGAGATTTCATTCTATCCACTCATGGATTTATCTTTAAACTTGATGCAATTCAATATACACACAGGGGGCTCTGCTGGAAACTCCTGCTACAATAAAGGTCAAGTCTGGCCTCAGCAGTGGCTGTTCTCTGTGCTGAATCTCTGGCTAACTGAAAAGCACATGTACTTTTCCTTGTAACTCAAGTCAAAAAAATTTCCCCTAGGCTCCCAGTTCTCTATAATGCAGAATGGGTGCCGAAGCCGGCATATGGCAGGTTTGGATGGGTCAGGCCAGCAGAAGGACCTGGGAGCTGCGGTCTCTTGAGAAAGGCAGCAGCTCCGCGTACTGAGTTCCCAGCTCGGTGAGACGTGCTACTCCTTACTTTGCACACTATATCACAGACCAGCGATGACTGTACCTTGCTTAGATGTTAGCGTCTCCTACCACTTCTGATAGGAGGAGGAAAACTACCACCTGGAACATCACGCTTAGCAAGTGTTGACCTCAGGTGTAGCAAGAGCACACTCACAGATTGCTGCCTTACTGCACCGCTTTGAATCAGCATTGTTTGTAAGCTACATACATTTCAAATAAAATAATAATTGTAATTATACTTTATATTTTTCATGGGATCTTTCTACCGAGTTTCTCAGAGCAGCTTATGAATATCACTTGTAAATGAGCCCCATAATGTTTTATGAAGTATGCGATTATTATAATTACAATTATGATGATGGTGTAGGTAAATTATGGCACACAAAGAGTAAGTAACCTGAGGAAGATCAAATAGCAAGTGCTAAATTGTGAAGCAGATCCCAGAAAAAATCCTGACTCACATTTTCAATACAAATATATAATGAAATTAAACTCCATAAAAGCTAGATTAGTACTTTCAAAGCATGTAGTTGCATTGCATTTACTCACTTTTAAGTCTCATATCAAACGCTATCTACACTTGTTCAGACTTACACGAACATTTTTTTCCTATGTATGCATGCATGCATGTAAAAATGACAAAAAAGAGAAGGCTGGAGTGTGTCTGGAGAAAGAAGACACATATAGTAACTAAAGGAACTTTAAAACACTTCACAATAGGAAAAAATACTAATTATATTTACAGGACATTGATACCTTCAAACGCCATATACACAAAAAGGATCCTAAACATAGTACCCAGATGCCGTAATCCTGAATGCAAGAAGTCTGGGGAAGTTTGGACCAGGATTGGTGCTGATCACTCATCATCTGTCTTTGAAATACACTAAACCTCATCCCCAGACCTGGAGTTTGGACTTCAGGCCCACACTGCTGACACAAAGGTCATACAGTTCTTTCTTTTCTTTACCTCTTTATCTCCACAGTCCCTGTAATTCTCATTTTAGGAGCCTGTTGACTTTTTTATATGTCTGCTACTCTTTTCTAACCAACTGCTTCCTCAATTCCTCTGTAATTAATCAATGTCTTTCGCAGACTCTGCCGATTCAGTGTAAGGCTCTTGCTGTGACAGACAGGAGCAAAGAAGTTTCCATTTCAGTGTCTTATTCAACATCTGTTGCCTGTATGATGGAGCAGCACTCTGTGAAGTAGGACCCCTCCCTTTCAGCTGACCACCATGACTTCCCTGGGCTTCTCTCCACTAATTCTCAATGCTCCCTGGAAGAGTCAGCTTTCTTCCAGACTGCCCGGCTTGAGCCAGATGGATGGAGAAACATCTCTCCCCAGCCACACCAGGATCTGCAACCAGACCTGGGACCTGACAGATGGTGCTTCAGGTGTACAACTGGGTGGGCAGAAACACTCAGGACTCTCTGTGACATCCTTTCTGTTCCCACTTAAATTCACACAGATGGTTCTGTGATTTGGACTCTAGTTGTTCCAGGTAGCGCCGAGGTAGATGAACAAAGTAGAAGGGCCCAGTGTGATCGTCATGAAGTGGAGAAAAGGATGGGGTAAAAAGCAGACTGAGGAGAAAACAGAATGGTAAAGCAGCAACAGCAACAATTCTGAAATTTTGAATTTTCTTCAAAGCATCTCTACTTTTTCTAACGAGGAGCTAGACTTCTCACGTGATTTTAAATCCTTCATGATGGTGCCAGAGAAATTCAGTGGCACTCAGGCCACGGTCCTCTCAAACGCATCCTGGAGCTCATGGTGGCACACTGAAAGCATGACCAGGCTAACAGGAGCAAAGGGCCATGGACATTTGGAAGAGGTGGAAGAGAAAGAAAGAGGGACACCTAAGCAGCAGAGGGAAACCAAATCCACCTCGAGCCTAGAGGCAGGCAATGACTTTCCAAAGCACCCAAAGAAGTCAGCTCACAAGGTCAGATCACAACTACCAGTCATCCAGCAGGATGCTGGATGTGTCAAAACAATCTAAACAAGATGACAGGGTTTAAGACTGCTGCATACTAAGGGAATGCTTATATTAGATTATTTGATTTTCTTTAATTTAATATAGCGAGATGAGATCACAGGCACTGTCTTTGACACCACCATTTTAGGTAACAAAAAAGATGGGAATGTCGAAGACACCAGTTCCTAGTGTCAGATAATGACCTGACGTAGTATTTAATTTAAAGTTGGCACGATTCGACTGAATATGATTATCAGGATATTTACACTTTATTAAAAAAAAAAAAAAAATCAATTAAAAGCATTCATTTGAAGTAATTTCAGAAATTTTCAAGTATCTTTCAAAATCTACAGATTCCTTGTTTTAAACTACTCTAGATTTTTTTTCCAGTCCGATGTTCTCCTAGTGTATTAAAAAGTGAAACGTGTTTAGGGAGCATGTTACAACAAGATTTTGCAATTATAAATGATAAAAGGAACAACATGACGAAGAGATAACAGATACCTTTTATGAAAAGAACAAATTACTAGTGTGAAAAACTTAAAGCACTTGGTCTAGAACCAGGGCATGTATTTAGAAGAGTACTAAAGAACCACTTCCTTGAAAAGTATGTAAATGTGGATCCTAGAAAGACAGCAAAGCTTTACTATGCCATGAACAAAATTAAAGATAAAGGATTAAGTCAACAACTAAATAGCATTGACCATTACCTAGACAGCCTGGACTGCAGTCTGGACTGAAAAGAGCAAAATAAGAATCTTTTGGAACCAAATGGAAATGCCAGAATATTGGTGGAAAAAAGATCCAGAGGCATTTTATAGCTCATATGTCTTACTATTCAGATTAAGCTCAGGCTTAATTTGTGGTTAAACTGATATTCTCTTGACTTGGTTTAAGCTTGTCCACACGTGAAGGAGTTGCAGCAGACTGCATCAATTTCTAGATGCAATTAAAAAGGAACAATTTTCACAGAGAAGTAAAAGCATTGATGGGGGTTGGATCATGTTACTGGGAGAAGCATATGTAAGCTACCACTGGAGTCGATGAACAGTACTTGCTCTTTAGGGAAGATGCCTCCAGGATTGTCTCTGGGAAATCCTTCAAGCTTGTGAATATTCAGATATTTAGTTTATTTACTTTCAGGTACAGAGTTCACTTTAAGGCTACAGGATGTGACAGGAGCATCTGAACAGCAATAAAGGAAGCAAAGGCAGGGAATGGAAGAAACAGAGAGTCGAAATACTGGTTCAGTGTACAATAAATCAGATGTCAGGACAAGAAAGTACAGCAGTAACTGCCAACAGATACAAATACTGCAATACTGCCTGTTAAAAATATTAAATCGAGGACTTAACACTGTTTTATGAGTTGGAGACTAAGCATGATGAGTAAGCCTGAGCTACCACATACATTCCCTGCAAATCATTGCCTCAGAAGTAAAATCTGTAACGTACACTGAAAACTTTAAGCGTACAAAGTGCAACGCAATGCCAGCTGGCTCTCTTTGGTAAGTTTTTTAACTCCAATACACCTTTCCAGCTTTTGTTATTAATTCCAAAATTTTTGAAAACTTTTTTTGTCTTACAATACATTTGGATGCTGCTGCTTCTGTGTTTTTCCCTCCCTGCTCCTCTAACATCTCTTTCCTGTGCTGTTCCTGTGTTCATTCTCTCCTCCCCTCCCAGTTTTGCCTATTTTTGGCACATTTTTCACCAAAGCCTCTTCGCGCTATGCTTGCCTTACCCCCTGTCCTCTCCATTGTTCCCTCTCTCCGCTGCCTACTCACCACATCCAGATCCGAGCCACATCGTCCCAAAGACGCCATCTCAAATAAAGGATGGAGATGTGCCAGAGAGTAAAGAAAACACATACCCAAATCCCCAAAGAGTAGACGGGTGTCCCACTGCAAAGGGACAATACCTAGATAAGATATCAATTCCTTCATCCCGTCGCTGCTGGGAAAATGGAGGATATTTGGATTCCTATCTCGATACTGTCCCTGGACCCATCTCAAAGCATCCGCTTATCAGCCTGAAGCTAGTAGGACATCTAATAAATTTGAAGCTGCCATCCCAAACCCTCTGGCAGTTGGCAGAAAGAAGTATTTTCTGTCTCACATGCCAAATAACCTATGAAAAAGACTGGATTTCGTAGCAAAGGATGCTGCTTATCCAGGAAAGTTTCAACTTGCCATAGGCATTTGAGTTTTTCAGACCATGATTAAATAAAGCCTTTTAACAGAGAATGTAGCACCAGTGCCAAAGCATGAAACTCTTAACGAGCATATAGAAACACTGAAAGAGATCACATTTTCACCTACAATAGTGAGCAAGAAGTTAGTCTTTAAAAACTCCAAAATCGCAAAGCTGAAATTTCGCATTTTTCTGGAATAACTGAATTGAGAGAGAGGAAAACGATTTGGTACATTCCCTTTTTGTAAATTAAAATGTAGCAATCAATGCAGAAGAAGAGATTAATGGAGCATAATGGACAAGACTAAACCCAGAAATAATTATAATTTATTTGGTTTATAAAGTGTTGGTGCCATTTCGCAGAACCACTCCATTTTAGAAGAATGAATTTCTTGAGTGGAAATCTAGCGTGGCACCTGACATTACCAGCAGTGTGGTAGAAGTATGTGGAAGATGTGCCAGAAGGAAAGCTTTTTGAGAATGAATAAGTAGAAGAAAGTGCTATAAAATGCACATTGACATGAAAAGAGCAAAGAGCAAACAGCTTGGCCGAACTACTGTATGACCAAAGAAAAATCAAGGTAGGAAATATAAACCAAGGAGATAACTCAAAGCACATGCAAAAGTAGAAAGCAGTGGAATTGTTATACTGGATAAAACCCAACAGGTATAGTGGTGATAACTTTATAAACGAGTTGTCATTAGTACTGATACTGTCTCCTCCTTTAATAACACTGAAACTCTCTGAGT